CAGCCTCCCAAGTATCTGATGTCAATGGAAAAGAAGCCAAACTCTGTAAAATAATTTTAAAGAGATTTATTCTGAGCCAAATTTGAGGACCATGACCCGGAGCCATGCCCAAGAAGCCTTGAGTAAGTGGACTCTCTGTGGTTGGGTTTACAGTTTTAAAGATTCTTTGACTTGTAATTGGTTAAAGACATAACAGTTTGTCTAAAGGCTTGGAATATTTTAAGATAATGGGCTCTGTAATCAGAGACAAGCCATGGACATATATTTGTTGTGTAAACTGAGGACCTTCAGGTTTGTTTTACATAGCCTTAGGCTTGTTAATGGGTTACAAAGGAAGTCTCTAAGAAGGGGGTGGGGCATAATGAGGCAGGCAATTTAGTTTTAGGATACCCCCTTGGCCAAGAAGGGGTCCATTCAGTCAGCTGATGGGAGGGAGCCTTAAGATTTTATTTTAGTTTACATTGGGATAACAGGCATGCACCCCTATACCCAGCTAATTTTTTGTATTTTTTATAGAGACAGAGTCTCACTATGTTGCCCAGGTTGGTCTCCAACTCCTGGCCTCAAATGATCCTCCTGCCTCAGTCTCCTAAAGTGCTGGGATTATAAGCATGGACCACTGTGCCTGACCGTTTTTTCTTTAATTTCATTGTATTTACTTGTCTGTTTTCCCATTTCTCTTCAAAGCCTCTTACTAAATTTTCACTTTGTAATTTAATCTTATCTGAGGTGATTTTCTCCCTTTATTCTATTTTCCTTGAATTTAATAAACGCATTTTCATTTATTTCTGGGTTTTCTTTTTGTCCTTTATTGTCTTTAATTTTCAAATTTCTGATTGAAATTGTCATTTCCTATCTCCAAAGGCTTGTTTTGGTATGTCTAACTTAGTTTGTAGGGTTGCCTTACACATTTTTCTTGCATTGTGCTTTTTTCTGGGAGGTGGGGGAATTGGAGAGGAAAGGGGTCTCAAGAACTTAGCAGCATTGGTTCTTATTTTTAATTTTTTTTGTAAAGAACCTAGGTCATTGGTGTTCTCTGGCAACAGTGTAGCAAAATTTAGGCTCTTTCTTTACTAGGTCTTTGTTTTTGTTGTTGCAGAGAAGGGTTTGTGGAGCCCACAATATACTTTTTGTTTTAGAAGACCCTAAAATTTCTTCCTCCATGAAATTTCCAAAAGAAATAATTCCTGCTTTTTTACTTTTTTCTCTTTCAGAAACTATGTCCTTTTAAATCTGTTACCTAAAATCACATATAACTAAATTCCCAGCTGTGAATTCAACATTTTCAGCTATTAGAACCTTCTTTTATTATAGTATTTTCACACTCAGTGTGAACTTTCTCCTTCTGGCAGAAGTTTTAGAGGAACTTTAGGACTGACACTAGTTTCTATCTTCTCTTTTCGAACTCCTGACCTTGAGCAATCCGCCCGCCTCGGCCTCCCAGAGAGCTAGGATTACAGGCGTGAGCCACCGCCCCCGGCCTTTATCTTCTCTTTTCTATGCATAGTGTTTTTGTTGGTTTGTTTTGTTTTGGATTTTTTTTTTTTTACAGACTACCCTTGTTTGCAGCAAAATTTTGTGATAGTAGTGCAGGTAATTGTTCACTGGAATTTGGTGGGTTTTTTTCCTCCTTTTTACTTACAGTTTATTACAGGTATAGGCATTGTGCCTTATAATTTACACAGTTTTACTTTTTCTTGTGGTTCAGTATTAGTTTGTAGCATATGCAAGGAGGTGCACATTTAAGCAGCTATCTGTATCTTTGGCTACTCAGAAGTTTTCTCTCTCTTGGCTGGGCATGGTGGCTCATGCCTATAATACTAGTACTCTGGGAGGCCGAGGAGGCAGGAAGATTGGTTGAGGTCAGGAGTTTGAGACCAGCCTGAGCAAGAGGGAGACCCTATCTCTACTAAAAATAGAAAAAATAGGCTGGGCATACTGGCACATGCCTGTAGTCTGAGCTACTCGGGAGGCTGAGGCAGGAGGATTACTTGAGCCCAGGAGTCTGAGGTTGCTGTGACTTAGGCTGATGCCACAGCACTCTAACCTGGGCAACAGAGAGAGATTCTGTCTCAAAAAACAAAAACAAACAAACAGAAAACTTTCTCCTGTTCACCTTTTACCACCACCTATAACTAATCACTGAGCTTTGATTTATTTTATTCTTTTTTCTTTTTCATTTTTTTAAATTGTTTGTCCCTATGTATATACATGAATATAGGTGCCATTGTTTATATATTTAAAGCATTATTTTATTTAATTTATATTTGCATCCTTGATTTGTTTAGGTTCTTCATTAAATGGTATATATTTAAGATTTGGGGAAATTGATCTACTTTTTCTGTAACTTTCTGTAGTCTGGTCTTAGACACTAAGGGAACTCTCTTTGCAAAGGAAAACTGACTTTTTCTTCTTGTTCTCTATTGTATACTCAGAAAATCATAGAAGAGACACATTGGCAATATCACATATATCAAAGGCACCCCACTTTCCCTACGCACAAACCAGATCTCTAGGCTGTCCATAGGATGCCACCTTGGCCAAGTGAGCCGAGTGTTAGCTTCGCTCTCTCATGTTGGGCTGAAACACAAGATCTTCATCCCAAAGGAAACAAAGGAAACAGATGCCAGGCCAAATGTGCCTTCTTAGATTTTGAGATGAGAGGGACATCTGTGGTCAAATTTACTTTATTAACATTGATGATGGGATGCAAAAAAAGAGGAAAAAAAAGGAAAGAAAAACCTAGGAGTAAAGAAAACAGAATATAGCTGTCAAAGAAGCCACTGAGAAAACCTATAAAATAGGACATTTGTACAGAAATTAAAAATCTTAGAGTAAGTAATCTTAGTAGTGTAAATGTTCTCTTTTAGATTTCATTCACAGGGTGCAAAATGACAAAATTAGAAATATGCAATATTTGGGCAGAAGAAGTCTTCAAGAGCATGTATTCCAACTGCAATTTCAAATAAGGAAGTGGTGATGACAAACATAGATATAGTACGTACAGTTTATTGAGCACTAATGTGATAGGTAGTGTGCTCAGTATTTTACATACATTATGTTTATTAGTCTTCAGAACAACCTGTTGAAATACAATGTGGTAGATATATTGGTTTCTTATTTAGTATCCATTTTATGCTACTCTTGTTTAAAAAGATTGTCCACGTACTTTGGATGCTCCTCTAATTGCTCTTCTGTGTTACACTGGGCTGACAATCTGAATAATCTTGGCCAGTGGAACATAACTATAAAATGTCCCACTTCTAGGCTCAAGGAGGCGTTTGCTTTAGCATCAATGTACCCTCCCCATATCCGTTATCTTGCTCTGCTGGCTGGAAAATGCCAAGGTGGCCTGGAATTTACAAGACAGGAGGAGCAACAGGGCTGAAGCATCCTGGGATCTAAATCACTGCTTAGAGAACAGTTGCTAAATCTACACTGGACAGAGTAAGAAATAAAGTTCTATTATGTTAGGCCCCTTAGATTTGAGGGCTTATTCGTTATTTGGGCAGAGCCTATTTCTATTCTGAATAACAGAAAAATCAATACTGAGGGTGGTGTGCTGTCATAACAACAGCAAGAAACCAAACCCTAAACCGTGTGGCACTGGGTAAGAAAAATCATGTCTGAGCCTAGAAAGTTGAATATCCATGTTATGCAGAAACAAACACTGCTTTGTAAAAGGAACTTCTGCCACAGCTAGAAAGACAGATCAAACCTGCTGATATTGTAACTCCAGGGGAAGACATGGGAAACAGACTGCTAATAGTCCTGCAAACCACTATTGGCTCATTTGGCAGGTATTACTGAACAGGCTGAGATTAAGAAATTACTGGATGTTTTATAGGAAGAAATACAAGAAATAGTCAAAGTCTAGAAACTCAGATCCTTGCATGGTTGAAAACCTTCCTGCTTCTACTCACAGAACATTACGATTTGAGTTTAAAAAAGGCAATAAGAAATCAAGGCCCTGTAAAACTTCTCAATTAAAATAAGTCAAAGTTTAATTTCTCAGTAGAAACAAGATTACTCGGTGAAAAGATCAGATTAAGAGTGTGGTCTTCCCCTCTAGTGCTTTAGGTGCCTTCAAGGGAGTAGCTCTTCAACTGAAAATGGTGAGGGATTCAGACTTAAGGAAACAAAATCAGTCAGGTTCTAGAATTGAAAAATAACTTTGTGGTTATTGGCCACGCAACTGTACCTAAGCAAACAGATAAAGGGTTTAATAATTTCTTTTTGAAGAAATTGTATTGGGAAAACAAAACAAACAAAACAAAGTGTGGACAAAAGAGGCTTTGATGTGGGAGTCTTTAAAAACTCTGGGGCCCCCACACTGTTCATGATGAAGGCACAGACTTCAGAGGCTGTAGAATCTTCCAAGAAGGCATGCTAAAGCGTCCAGCATGGATGAGGTTATGGGGACCAACGGAATGGCAGAACCCCCAGGATAGCAGAGCCAGGGGACCTGGTGGCCATGGGCAGGGGAGTTACTCCCAGGGAGTAATGCAGAATCCACAAAGAGCTTCCTCCACCACCTGGCATGGGAATTTCATGTTTTCAGAATCTCATGCCTTCAGAACACATCTAATAACCAGTGCCTCCTGTTTCTCATGCTTCCCTGTCCTAAGTGGGTGGGTCCAGTGTAATTACTCTGTGTAGACCCACTGCATACGAATGTGCGTGTGGGAAACGGGCAATTCTGCCTTTAGTTACAGGTTGTCAGTCTAGGAGAAGCCCACACACCACGTGGATTTGTGATAGACTCAGGAAATGGCTCTTTTGGGTTGTGTCTCTCCAGGAATGGAGAAGAACAGAAAGGGAGTTTCAAAGGCCAGATCCAAAGCCATTGGTGCCCACCATACCCAGGCACTCTCCTCCACTTGCAGCCTCCCACGTAGGTGGGATTGCCATTCGGCTTGCTCTGCAGAGTGGAATGTGGCTGGACTGATGGGAGTTCTTGTGTATGATGCCTTCCCAACCCTTATTCTCTTCTTCCACAGGTTGGACAGGTTATTCAGGAGAACACCAGGAGCGACAAGACAGAGGACATGCAAGATCATTATTGTCTTAGATTCCAAGTCGCAACTGAGAAGAGAATTGCTTGACCAACATAAGACTAAGATTGAACCAGAAATTCATTTCCATTATATTAAACTCCTATGATTTCAGCATCTATTGTCACTGCAGCAGAGCTCTGCCTATTTAGCCTATTAGAAATTCTGAAGGCAGTCCCAGGCCTGGGTGGGTCTCTGTTGACCTAAGCCAATTGTCACGTTCCATGCCATGGCCTCCTTCAAGGCTGTCATGCCATCTTGCTTGGCATGCTGGACAGAGCTCTGTCTACTTTCTGCTTGACAAATTGTGGATACGTGAGCCCGGAAACTGCTACAGGAAGCCAAACTTGGAATAAAGTGCAGAGGGGTGGTAGACAGAGGAAATGAAATTGGATTCTTGATGACATCACTGAGTCCCTGAAGCAAACAAACCCCATCAACTATCCTATCCCTGTTCTTCAAGACACACAAGCCAATACGATATTTTATTGTTTAAGACAGCTAAATAGAATTTTCCATTGCTTGAAACTTAATAGTAAATAAATATGAATTACAATGGTCCCTATTTTAATGATGAGGGAATTAAGGAACAGAGAGCTGAACTGAATTATATAGCATCACACAGCTGACAAACAAGAAAGTTGAAGCCTAAATGTCCCCCCCCAAATCCCACTCTTGTAATCCCTATGTGCTATGTTATGTTGTTGTCTCCCACTCTACTATTCTCACAATATGACACTGAGTGTTAGAGGAAGAAAGGGGGGAAAACTCACACCGACCACCCAAACGGAAAACAGGATCCCTGTGTCCTAAGATATTGTCCTTTCTGGAACTCTTATTTCTATTTTCAGCAAGCCAAGTTAGAAACCGATTCCTCTTTTGAAGCCCTGGTCATCATGGAGGGGCCTCTGCGACCCCTGAAGAAGCGCTACCACAATCACGAAGCCCAGTGATTGTTGGGCCTGAGCCCCGCCCTGGCTTGGGAGGCGCTAGGGAAAGGGCGCGTGCTGTGGGGTCAGCACACGCATGTCTAGAAACAGCCGCAGCTGTGTCTGACGAGCATCTGGCCGTCTTTGCCGGGCAGGGGAGGTGCGTGGCTCCATTAGTTACTGCGTTTCATAAAAATTAACAGTCTGAAACTTCAGGTCAGCATATTTAACAAAAATAAATCTTTTATTTCTAGAGTGTGGACCAGATGTGAATGTATTTGAGAAAATATGTGTTTCTGTGAGTGTCCATGAATGTTTGGAACAAGAATGACAAAGATACCTGCTTTCCCACAGGCACGTGGGCTCACGGCTAGAGGCCTTGGTAGTTGGGAATCGTAAAAACGTGTGTGCTGGGGACAGAGGGGAGAGACAGCCTGACGGGGAAGAAAGGTAAAAGGAACAAGGCAGCTGCCACGTCCAAACCCTGGGTTTTAGAGGTTTGAGATGCATAGGATTCATACGCTAAAGATATCCAAAGTGTAACAGATACTTTCCTTCCTGAAAGACACCAACTTTTAATTTTTCCTGTAAATTTAAGTGAAAGTCTATCCTTCAGAATTAAAAAAAATACTCTCTAACCTTCATGCCTACAATTTTAGACATACCCCTTCTTTAAATCCTGGTACTCATTATCCCTCAAAAATTCTTAATAATGATATGGAAAGAAAAGAATGAATGGAAGTGCTTTTCAGACGCTGCATATTTCTGCAAGAATATATCAGCAGAATACCAGGATCGTCAGCTGTCAGGGCGGAAGAGAGCTGCAAGCTCGTACAGGGGGGAGAAGTTGCCCGGAGACGATTACTGCTTCTACTGCGTGTGGGACATGCCCGAGTCCTTCTGTGCCAACGGCAAAAGCCGCTGAAGATCTCCTTGTTCCACTTCTGAATCACACACACCACTAACCAACACTCGTCCTGTACCCCTCTTATGAAGTCAGGAATGATTTTTTTTTTTTTTTTTTGTATTAACTAATGGGCTGCCTGGTCTCCTCTAACGGACTCCTGTCGCTCTGCTGGGATGCGCCTGAGAGCGGCTCAGGGGGCCGGACGCCTTTGTCCGGCGCCAGCAGGCCAGGGCTGTGTCCCGCTGGCCTAAACAGCAGAGACTCGCGCTGAATGTGTCTCTCTCTGACCCTCAGAATCCTTAGGCGAGTCAGAAGGAGTCCATCAGATGCCTGCACAGGTCGATGTGAACGGGTTGATGGGAAAGAAGACCCAAGAGCAGAGGAAAAGGGGAGCAGGAGGGACCCGGGGCACAAGAACACAAACAACCTTTTAGTTTGCTAAGTTACCATCATTACAAGGGGAAGAGGGAAGAGGTTAACTCGTCAGGGCAAGGCTGGTCGGTACCCCTTCCACATAGCATATCATCACGTGGAAGATTTTCTGAGTGTGCCCTAGGATGGGCCCTAGGATGGCGAGCCGGGCTCCCACCTGCAAGACGGCTCTTTTTGTCGTCCTGTCTGCAGAACAGGCTCAGGGGCAGCAGACTCCTGCCCTGGGCCAAATCCAGCCTGACACCTGTTTTTATACTAACAATGACTGTTACGTTTTTAAAGTTAAAAAAAATTCAGAATGTTTCATGGCATATGAGAATTCTATGAAATTCAAATTTCAGGGTCCATTTATAATATTAGAATCCAGACATGCCCACTCATTTCTGTGCAGCTGTCCCCATGCTGGTGACGGAGAACCTTTGCTCTGAACGCCTAAAATATTAAAACTTTTACTCTCTGGCCTTTTGCAGAAAAAGTTTGCTGACCCACTGGCACCAGCTGCAATCTCTCTGTAGAAAGTTAAACAGTGAGGTGACCATACGTATTTGAATATCTGAGGAAAGTCTAGTCCGGGTTTATTTAAGTACGTAGGAGGGTGTTGGGGCCCAGAAATCTATACTTTGAAATGAAGCCTTAGAAGTAACTGCTTTTCTCTGACCTTCCCCTGTCCTCGCATCTCTCAGTCCTACTCTACTCCAAGGCTGGCCAAAGAAACTAGAACCTCTTTTCTCCAAGTTGGGTCATAGAAACCAGAACCCCTTCTCCTCCAAAGCCTGTAATAAAACCTAAAAATATTACCCTAACTTTCTCTCTCTTTTTCTGTGTAAAGACTGGCCATAAAGAAATTATCTGACCTACCTCTTTGACTGTAGGTCCTGAGATTCTTATTCTAGAAAACGTCCTGTCCCACCCAGAGGGAAGGATGCTGCTCAGAGAGGCCAAGAAGAACCCAGACAGACAGGCCTTGCTGGGTGTCCACACTCACTTTATTCATATTAGATCCTACCCTTTTTGTTCGATCATATTTTTGCATGGCTGTCCATACTTTGTTGAACCTAAGAATAAAAAGGAACAATTTCCCCTGTATCTTTGGGTCTTCATTCCGAAGGCTCCTGTGTATACATGTTAAATAAATTTGTATGTCTTTCCTCCAAGTAATCTTTAGTTAGTTGATTTTTCAGTGAGCCTTCAGAGGGCCAAGTCCCCTGGGCCCCACAGTTTTGGTGCCGTGAGCAGGATCATCAAAGCCACTCTGCTCTTCCAGAAGCTACAGTTCAGGGAATCCAAGAACCTAACCAGCTTGCAAAAGGGTAAGAATCTCTTACCATCCAGACTGGCAATTTCTCTCTGAGCAATTTGGTAGAGTGGATGGTAAAATTCACTGTTTTCTCTGCAAAATTTTGATTAATGGGAGAAAAGATTTGTGTGTGGCTAGTCTTGGTGTAGCAACTTTTGTGTACTTTTTAACACTTTGTGGTGTGCATATTCATATTGTTTGATGCCTTTCCTCCCAGAAATAGTCTTTTCCTTTGTGTCTCTGTGTAGTTCTGTTATAAAGAAGAGTACTGGAAATCAAGAGTTTCTTCGAACAAAATGACAATGGAGCCACATCTTACCAAAACCTGTGGGATACAGCAAAAGCATATCTGAGAGGGAAATTAATAGCAATAAATGCTCACATCCAAAAAACAGAAAGATTAGATACCGACAACCTAATGAATAGACTCAAGGAATTGGAAAAAGAAGAGCAAACCAATTCCAATCCTAGCAGAAGAAAATAAATATTTAAGATCAAAACTCAACTAAATGAAATGGAGAAAAAGAGAATTATATGGAAGATCAACAAAACCAGAAGCTGGTTTTTCGAAAAGATCAACAAAATTGACGGCCCTCTGGCTAGGCAGACAAGAACTCAAAGGGAAAGGACTCTAATAAACTCAGTAAGAAATGAAAAAGGAGAGATCACAACAGACTCCACAGAAATACAAAACATTATGTTTGACTACTATAGAAATCTATATGGCCAAAAACTACAGAATGAAGACAAAATGGACAGATTCCTGGATTCATACAACCTCCCTAAGTTTACCCAGGAGGTAACAGAATTCCTGAACAGACCAATCTCAAGCTCAGAAATTGAAGCAGTAATTAACCACCCCCCCAAACGGAAAAGTCCTGGGCCAAATGGCTACACTTCAGAGTTCTACCAAACATACAAAGATGAACTCATACCTATGCTACAGAAACTATTCCACACCATTGAGAAGGATGGTATCCTTCCTAATTCATTCTACAAAGCCAGTATCACCTTGATACCAAAGCCAGGAAAGCATGCAACAAATACAGAAAATTAAAGATCAATATCCCTCATGAATATAGATGCAAAAATCCTAAATAATATTTTAGCAAATAGAATTCAGCAGCACATCAAAAAAAAAAAAATAATTCACCATGATCAAATGGGATTTATTCCAGGGATGCAAGGCTGGTTCAACATACACAAGTCTATAAATGCGATTCACTTCATAAATAAAATCAAGAACAAAGACCATATGATTCTGTCAATAGATGCAGAAAAAGCATTTGACAAAGTCCAACATATCTTTATGATAAAAACTCTTAATAAAACAAAATAGGCATAGATGGCCCATACCTTAAATTTATCAAATCCATTTATGACAAACCCACTGCTAATATCATACTAAATGTGGAAAAATTGAAATCATTCCCTCTTCGAACCGGAACTAGACAAGGATGCCCACTATCTCCTCTCCTATTCAACATGGTGTTCGAAGTCCCAGCTATAGCAATCAGGCAAGAGAGGGGTATTAAGGGCATCCAAGTGGGGGCAGATGAGATCAAACTTTCAAACTCTCTCTCTTTGTTGATGATATGATATTATACCTAGAAAACCCCATGGATTTATCCAAGAGACTCCTAGATTTGATAAATGAATTTGGTAAAGTTTCAGGTTATAAAATCAATATACACAAATCAGAAGCATTCATATATGCCAAGAACCATCAAGCAGAAAGTCAAATCAAAAATGCAAAAATACTCTTTACCATAGCCCCCCCAAAAATTAAATATCTAGGAGTATACTTAACGAGAGATATGAAAGATTTATACAAGGATGTCGCGCCCCCTCGCCAGCAAGGAAGACACGGCAACTGGAGTTCTTCTGACAGCGCTTTAATGGGGATTGCTTAGCTGGTTACATGCGGAAGACGCCGAGGCGTTCTCGCAGCTGCTTATATAGACAGTAAGTACACGGGGCATAACCTGATT